AGCTTGCTCAAACTCATGTCCATCGAGTCAGTGAAGCCATCCAACCATCTTATCCTCTGTCATCCCCTTCTCCTCTCATCTTCAATCTTTCACAGCATCAGGGTCTTTTCTAAGTCAGTTCTTCACCTCAGGTGGCCAAAGTACTGGAGCTTCAGCTTCAGCATCAGTCCCTCCAATGAATATTCAGGACTGATTTCATTTAGGATTGACTGGTTTGATCTTGCAGTCCAAGGGACTCTCAAGAGTCTTCTCCAACACCACAGTTCAAAAACATCAATTCTTGGGCGCTCAGCTTTCTTTATGGTCCAACTCTAATATCCATACATGACTACTGGAAAAACCATAGCTTTGATTGTACGGACCTTTGTCAATAATGTCTTTGCTTTTTAATATGCTGTCTAGGTTTTTCATATCTTTTCTTCTAAGGAGCAAGCATCTTTTAATTTCATGACTGCAGTCACCATCTGCAGTGATTTTGGAGCCCCCCAAAATAAAGTCTGTCACTGTTTCCATTGTCTCCCCATCTATTTGCCATGAAGTGATGGGACCAGATGCCATGATCTTTGTTTTTTGAATGTTGAGTTTTAAGCCAGCTTTTTCACTATCCTTTTTCACTTTCATCAAGAGGTTCTTCAGTTCATCTTTGCTTTCTGCCATAATGGTGGTGTCATGTGCATATCTGAGGTTATTGACATTTCTCCCTCCAATCGTGATTCCAGCTTCATCCAGTCCAGGATTTCACATGATGTATTCTGCATCATGTAAGGCTTATCACACTGAGGTGGGAAGAGTGGTTGGCCAGAGCTTTGTTTCTGCCCTCAGGGGAATTCATATGGAGGACAGTAAAATAAGTTAAATAAGCAAGGTGACATGATACAGCCTTGACATACTCCTTTCCCAATTTGGAACGAGCCCATTGTTCCATGTCTAGTTCTAACTGTTGCTTATTGGCCTCCATACACATTTCTCAGGAGACAGGTAAGTTGGTCTGGTATTCCCATCTCTAGAAGAATTTTCCACTGTTTGTTGTGAGCCACACAGTCAAAGACTTTAGTATAGTCAATGAAGCAGAAGTAGATATAGCAGGATCACTCTGATGGACTGTGAATGTGCACAGCTCTGATTTATAACACATCTGAAGGCAGAGACACCATCTCTTATGCAAAGGAAACTTCTAATTATGCCTAATGCATGCATTTAACACTGTTGCCTGTGCAATGTTCTAAAATATATACTCAGCAATTCTTTTAATCTGCACATCATTCCTGTGTTGTGGATACGTTTTAGTCCAATTTTAAAAAGAAAAGAAGAGAGACATCAAAGGACGATTCCTCTAGACCAAGGATATCAGGTAGATGTAGTCATTTGGCATGCACTTCAAACCCTGGTACTGATCTTTTAGAGGTTATATTTTTAAATTGTTCCACAATACTGTTTCTGTTTATAGAGTTTATAAATCTAACCAAGTGTTTGCTAAACAGAAGATATTCCACTATTTAAAACAAACCACTTCTTGCAAGCTGTTTCTTAACAATCTCCCCCATCATGACCTTGTGTCTCTCCTTGTGCAGCATCAACTAGTACTAGGAATTAACTTAATAATAGGTTTAAACTTTACACAGACTAGGGTGACTTCTGGGAAACTGGCAAAAATCATATTTTTCAGATTCCTCCCTAAACACTGGTGCTATGGTTAGTCATTCTGCTCTAGTTGAGCTGACTTAAGAGATGCTTGAATTGGGAGGATTCATAGGCAAATGGGAAAATTCCATATGTGAGAAGGAAAAGGTGAACACAGACCATATTCAGGCCTCATAAGACTGAGTGAAAATAATGACTTTTCAAAATGTAAAATCATAATACTTCTGTTGAAGCTGTGTCTGCAAAGGACCTCAAGGTGATGACTGAATTAGTTCTTAAAAAAAAAAATACACATGATACGTGTGAAATAGAGAACTAATGGGAAGTTGCTGCATAATACAGGAGCCCAGTCTGGCATTCTGTGGTCACCTAGAATGTGAGATTGGAGGAGTGGAGGTAGGGGTTATATATACATACATATATATATATATATATATATATATATATATATATATATATATATATATATATATATATATATATATAATTACTTTGTCAACAAAGATCCATCTAGTCAAGGCTATGGTTTTTCCAGTGGTCATGTATGGATGTGAGAGTTGGACTATAAAGAAACCTGAGTGCAGAAGAACTGATGCTTTTGAACTGTGGTGTTGGAGAAGACTCTTAAGAATCCCTTGGACTGCAAGGAGATCCAACCAGTCCATCCTAAAGGAGATCAGTCCTGGGTGTTCATTGGAAGGACTGATGTTGAAGCTGAAATTCCAATACTTTGGACACCTGATGCAAAGAGCTGACTCATCTGAAAAGACCCCGAGGCTGGGAAAGATTGAGGGCAGGAGGAGAAGGCGATGACAGAGGATGAGATGGCTGGATGTCATCGCCGACTCAATGGACATGGGTTTGGGTAGAATTCAGCAGTTGGTGATGGACAGGGAGGCCTGGCGTGCTGCAGTTCATGGGGTTGCAAAGAGGTGGACACAACTGAGCAACTGAACTGGAACTGGATATATATATGTACATGTATACATACATATAAGAAGAAAGAAAGAAAAGATGGAGATCTCAAATTAATAAAACATAATGAAGAGAAAAAATAATAACAAATATCTCCAAAATAAAAAAATCTATAAGAGAATGCTATGAACATTTGCCAACAAATTGCACAACCTAGAACAAATGGACATGCTTCTAGAAAGTTTCTAGATATATACAGCTGACCAAAACTGAGTCAAGAAAAAACTAGATAACTGGAACAAATCCATCACTAGACATACAATAAAATCTGCAGTTTAAAAAAAAACCCCACAAAACTGCCTGCAAACAGAAGTCCAGGACTGAATGGTTTCACTGGGGAATTCTATCAAACATACAAAGAAAAACTTATACCAATACTTTTCAAACTCTTCCAAAATATTGAATGAAAAGGAAATTCCCAAAGTCATTCTAAGAGACCACAATCACTGTGATTCCAAAACCAGACAAATACACTCCCAAAAATATATACATAGGCCAATATCTTTGATTAATATAGATGCAAGGATTCTGAACAAAACATTAGCAAACTGAGTCCAACAGCACATAAAAAGAACCATACGCCATGATCAAGTTGGATTCATCCCAGGGTCACAAGGATGATTCAACACATGCAAATCAATGTGAGACACCACGTGAAACACCACAGAAACACATGATACACCACAGAAACCACATGATCATCTAAATAGATGCAGAAAAATCATTAGATAAAATTCGACATCTATTCCATGATAAAAACTCTCACCAAAGTGGGAATAGAGGGAACATAGCACAATAAAAAGCTCTGCATGACAAACTCACAGCCAGCATAATACTCATCAATGAAAAGCTGAAACCATTCCTGCTAAAATCTGAAATAAGACAAGATGCTCACTCTCACCACTTCAGTTCAACATAGTACTGGAAGTCCTAGTGATAGCAACCACACAAGAAAATAAAATAAAATATACCTATATTGGAAGAAAAGAGGTAGAATTGTCATTATATGCAGATTACAAGATACTCCATATAGAATACCCTATAGACTACATACGAACACTATTAAAAAGGATAAGCAAACTCAGCAAGGTAGCAGGATACAAGATTAACATACAGAACTCTGTTGCATATCTTCACACTAATAATGAAATATCACAAAGAGAAAGTAAAAAAACAAACACTTTTAAAATCACATCAAAAAATTAAATACCTAGGAATAAACCTGACCAAGGAGGTGAAAGACTCTATGCTGAGAACTATTAAACACTGATAAAGGAAATTAAAGGTAATTTAAATAAATGGAAAGATATTCCATGCTTTTGGACTAAAAGAATTCTTTTTTTTAAAAATTTTTTCCAAATATTATTCCAAATATATGTTTTACAGGCCACTATGGGTCAGAAACATTCTATAGAAGGAAGCATTTTGATAGGCTTTGTAAATAATTTTAATAGAAGAAAAAGCTCCTATTTATCTAGATGTGACTGTGCTCCATAGGAAGATTTCAGCATCCAAAGTGCAAAGACAAAATGACTGTGGCTTTTCTGGCCACTCAAAATATTGACAATCTTCCCTTACAGCCTACTCTTGTTAGTTGGGTGTTAAACAGACGGTACACTGACTTTTAGAAGGAGAGCTCCAATGGACAAGGGGGTGGGGGGGGGTGTTAAGCATCAGAATGAATTCAACTTAAGAATAAACTGGCTTTGACCCCAACAAAACCCAATGTCCCATCAGAGGCCCATTAGAAATAAATATAAATTGTAGTATAACTTTTACAAGGTTGTGCCACTTAACACTATTAAACCTAATCAAACCAAATTAAAGCCAAGCACACTCCCATTACTAGTTCAGTACTCCCCATATCCCAGTTCTATGAAGGCTCCATTGTTACAGCTCACCTCCTAACAGGGGAAGGGGAATTTCCAAGTTCTCGAAGGAGCCATCCTAAATTCTCTGCCCAAACCTTTCTTTACGCTGCTCCCCCATTTCCCACCCCAAGACAAGTCATTCTTACCAAAGAGGCAGGGGCTTCTACCACTAGTCTCATGGAAATTACACCAGAGAAATGTCATTACATGAGGGAGTTTGGCTTTAAGCCAAAGGGATGTACCTCCCAGCCTGCAAAAGAATCACAATGAATTTCATACCCCTGTAAAGATCTCCCATCTAAGAGCTCCCAAAGACAGCACAAGGTGTTGATATTACATTACTTGAGGAGAAGGAGAAGGAGATATATATAGCTTTCATAAAACCCCCACGCACAATTAAACTTGATTAAAAGCCTGGAGAATGCTAAAAGTAGTAATGAGGCTGCAGAGTAGAGTACAGGTGCGCTCTTCCTCACAGTCAATAAATGCTGTCAAGTAACAGGAGACACGACTTCACTTGAGCATTGGAGAAGCAAAAAAGTTGCCTTGTCGTCCTAGGTTGGTGGCAGACTTGTTTTTGCTTCCAAATCTGGGAGTGTTCTTGGTGAGGGTGGAGCGGACTCTCTGTGACAGGGAGCTGGATGAAGGAGTCTTGAGGAGCTGATGCTCAGGAGTGGTCACAGGCCCCAGTAAACTCACTTTAACATCTGGGGTCTGTGGTGTTGAGAAGGCATTTGAGTTTTCAATGACATGCATGGGGTCAATGTTTTCTTGTTCTACCATCATGAACTGACTCCAGTATTCCAGGGGTAGTGAAAGTAGGCGCTCTACCACCTTGGGCTGACACTTGGTGTCCTGTAACATTGTCACTGGATCTGGATTAGGTACAGCATGGGCAACTATTGTAGGGCCAAAAACTTTAGCCAGATTGGCAACATCCATTTTAGTGTTTGGGCTCTGAGCCACTCTCTGCAAGTGAATCATGAGGAAAGCTAATGTGTCTCTGTTGGCCTGGGGCAGCTCGCCAACAGCCTGGTACATGGCTGCTATGCTGTTGTCCTCATCTGTGATTTCTGCTGCATCCATAAAGGTCTTGTTTAGCCGAAAGGTCAGAAGGGGTTCTTTGAGGTTTCAAAGGAAGTCTTTCAGGAGGCTACAGATTGCATGGATGTCATCCACTTTGCTGAGGAGGGGTACAGTTTTCACTCTGAGGAACTTCTCTTTCAGCTCTTTTACTGTCCGGTCACAGCCTGAGATCCGATACAGGCCTGTCTCAGTCAGCCCTCTTTGCTCAATCTCATTGACACAGTGGACAACAATTGACGGGATCATTGGAGAAGTCTGGGACACATAATCTGCCAGCATTCCTTCTCCAATCTTGACAGGTGTCCCTATCAGGGTAGGAATACAGGGAAGTGGACAGCGGTCCCGGCATTCTGTATGAGAGACCACACGACAGTCTCGACACTTCAGAGACAGCTTGCCAAATTTCATTCGCTTTCTACATGGTACACAAGATTCGGGTTTAATAACCGTCTTAGAGATGAAGTCGTGCAGGCGCATCTCCCCATTGCTTTGTGGAGTGCTGGAGCCGTCTGTTTCAGTTTTTGGCTCCGGCTGCCTGCTGCTCAATGTGGAGTCACTGTTCCAAGGCTGTAAAGTACCTGTTTTCCTTCGGCTCCGAGTCCAATATGGCACAGTTTCGATAGTGGACACAGCCTCAATGGGCCCTCCATCATTGGGAACAGTCACTGTAGTTTTTGCTACTATGGATTCATTTCCCTGGTCTGCGGTGGAGCCAATGGAACGCGTTTTCTTAACAGGTCCAGGGGGACCGTCAACCAACTGTCGGCTATTCGAGCACCTCTTTTCTCTCTTCTTCAGTTTAAAAGTCTTTACCAAAGAAGAATCCCAATTCAGGGATTCATCAGTCTTGTCAAAGCTGATATCTGATAAAATGTAACCAGATTCATCAATGGTTGACAGTCTTTTGTTCCCAGCATTGCCACTGGATGGTTGGCCTCTGTTGAGAAAAGCCAGAGCTGATTTTTGCTCCTCACTTAGTTGAATGCTTCCAGATGTGTCACACATGAGCATCTCTCGAATCAGCTGAATCTGTCTTTCCAGCTTTTCACAGTCAGCCTCAGCTCGCTGTCTCCGTTTGATCCCTACATCCACCTGATTGCGTGCATGTTTCAGCTTAACATCCAGAGCACTACGCTCAGTCTCTGCTTTCATCAAAAGATCCTTGTATTTGCCCAGCTCGTGGTCTGTTCTCTGCCACTTTTTACGAAAATCTTCAAAGTCCTTTGCCAACTGGATAAATTGGAGTTCATTTCCTTCACTGAGAATCTCCACACAGCGTACAAGTTGCTCAAACAGATTCCACATATTCAGCATCATAGTATCCATCTTTCTTGTCAGGTCCGCCTTGAAAGAATTCATATTGTCAAAATGTCCATAATACTCAAAGCATCCTACAATTTAATGTGATCTAGAAGGCACAGTGGTAAAGAATCTGCTTGCCAATGCAGAAGGTCCAAGAGACATTGGTTTGATCCCTGTGTCAGGAAGATCCCATAGTGTAGGAAATGGCAACCCAATCCAGTATACATGCCTGGAAAATTCCATGGATAGAGGAGCCTGGTGGGCTACTGTTATGCCCGATGTCCGAATCCCCGAGCGGGAAGAGAGAAGGCTTCCAAGACAATGCAACTCGCAAAAAGGGAAGTTTATTGCTGACTCGAGTCAGGGCTCCTGCCGCATCCAACGCAGTGGTGCGGGGTCAGAGAGCCCCGAGCCCAAGCTGTTATACAAATTTATAGGGTGAGCCTAAGCAGTTGGTAGCTGGCTTAAGTGGATTGGTTACATGTTTGCAAAGCAATTTTATTGGTCCAAACTTTCGCAGGCTTTTTTCAAACTTAGGCCTTCGCGGGTTTTTCAGCTTTCCCCTGATAGATTCCCTTTTTCTTACTGGGCACATATTGATTGGCTGGCTCCAGGTGGCCTGATGTGGGTAGGGAATCTTACCATTTCGGGGGAAATCTAAACTTAGGTCCGGGCCGCCTGTCATGATGTTAGCCCTGGCAGCCTCACACTACCACTTATGAGAACATAGAGTTGGATTAGGACATGACTGAGCACACATGCAATCCACTATCAAATTATCCATGACATTTTCACAGAACTAGAGCAAATAATCCTAAAATTTATATAAAACCACAAAAGATCCAGAATTGTCAAAGCCATTCTGAGGGAAAAGAATAAAGCTGGAGGCATAACTTTTCCACACTTCAGACAATATTACAAAGAGATAGTAATAAAAAAAGCATGGTATTGACAAAACAGACACATAGATCAGTGAAACAGAATAGTAAGCCCAGGAGTAAACACTCACACTTACAGTTACTCATTTTTTGACCAAGGATGCAAGAATATACATTGAAGAAAAGACAGTGCATCAAGCAATGAGTGTTGGGAAAGCTGGGCAGCACAGGTAAATCAACAAAGTTTGAAAGTTCCTTCACAGCATACACAAAAATAAGCTCAAAATGATGCAAAGACTTTAAAAGAAGGCATGCCACCATAAAACTCCTAGAAGAGAACATAGGGAAAACATTCTCTAACATAAGTTGTAGCAATAATTCCTTAAGTCAATCTCCCAAGGCAAAAGAAGCAAAAGCAAAAATAAAAGGAACCTAATCAAATCTAAAAGCTTTTGAACAGCAAAGGAAACCATATATAAAATGAAAGATAATCTATGAGCTGGGAGGAAATATTTGCAAATGATGCAGCTGACATGGGTTTAATTTCCAAAATATACAAACAGCTATTACAATTCAGTATCAAATAAACAAACAATCCAATTGAAAAATGGGCAGAAAACTGAAGCAAAGAGAACATTTCTTCAAAGAAGACATACATATGGCCAAAAAAACACACATGAAAAGGAGCTCAAAGTCACTAACTATTAGAGAAACGCAAATCAAAACTACAATGCAGTATCAAATCACACCAGTTAGCCTGGCCATCATCAAAAAGTCTACAAATGATAAATGCTGGAGAAGGTGTGAAGAAAAGGGAATGCTCCTAGACTATTGGTGGGAAAGTAAATTTGTACATCCACTATAGAGAACACTATGAAAATTCCTTAAAAACTAAAGATAGAATTATCATAGGATTCAATAATCCCACCCCTGAACATACATTCAGAAAACACAAAAGCTCTAATTTGAAACATACATGCACACCAATGTTCATTGCAGCACAATTTACAACAGCCATGACATAAAACAACTTAAATTTGCATTGATAGATGAATGAATAAAGAAGATACGGTACATATATACAAAGGAATATTATTCAGCCATTAAAAATTAAATATTGACATTTGCAGCAACATGGATTGATCTAGAGATTATCATCCTAAGTGAAGTAATTCAGACATAGAAAGACAAATATCATATGATATCGCTTATATGTGAAATCTGAAAAACAATGATACAAATGAACTTATTTACAAAATAGAAACAGACTCACAGCCATAGAAAACAAGCAAACAGTTATCAAAGGGGGAGAAGAGAGACAGATAAATTAGAAGCTTGGGATTAACAGATACACACTACTGTATACTAAATAGATAAACAATGAGATACTACTGTATAGCCCAGAAAACAATACTTAATATCTTATAATAACCTATAATGGAAAAGAACATGAGAAAGAATATATATAATAATCACTTTGCTGCATACCAGAAAGTAAAACAACATTGGAAATCAACTATACTTGAATAAAAAATTTAAATTGAAGAAAGATTTCCCCAGAATATAAAATATGCAAGGTATTTACATTATGAAGTAACAACAAAAATTTTATTTTATTTTTTTATTTTTTATTTTTTTTTTTAAACAAATCTGCCTTTATTTTGTTTAAGACATTAATTGATGCCTTTTAAAAATTTAAGGCATCTAAGAACTGTTCCATAGCTGTTAAAGTCTGAAAGCCCTTGATCTAATTTAATATAGAAATTTAGTGTGGAATTGTGACCAGCAGAAGGCTGGTTTGCGTCTGGAGACAGAGCTTGCTAGGAGTGCATATTTCTCTTTAAGAAATGTCACAACAGGGTTTATTAATAAATGCTAACAGCTTATTTTCTAAAAACAATCTCAAGATTTTATATTTACTCTATCAAAGAACTGACATACTATTAACCAAGTGAACACATAACTCCCTTCATTACAGAATGGGAGGGGAACAAAATGCATGATCATGTCAGTGGAGGTAGAAAATGATTTGACAACACTTAACATCTTTTCATGATTTAAAAAACACTCAATAAACTAGAATTAGAAAGAAACTACCTGAATATAATAAAGGCCATATGTGAAAATCCCAGGGTGAACATCATACACAATGGTGAAAGTCTAAACTTGTTTTTCTAAGATTAGGAACAAAACACTGATGTGCACGCTCACCATTTTTTTCAACATAATGATGAAAATCTGGCTGGAGTAATTAGTCATAAATAAATAAACAAATGCATAGCTTTCAAATTGGGAAGGAAGAAGTAAACTCATCTCCATTCATGCCTAGAGACATTCCTTCAGCATTTGTTGTGAAGCTGGTTTGGTGATTCTGAATTCTCTGAACTTTTGCTTGTCTTTAAAGTTTTTCATTTCTCCATCAAATGGGAGTCTTGCTGGATAGAGTATTCTTGGTTTTAGGTTGTTTCCCTTTCATCAGTTTAAATATATCATGCTCATTCCTTCTGGCTTGCAGAGTTCCTGCTGAAAAATCAGGTGATAACCTTATGGCACTTCCTTTATATGTTATTTGTCATTTTTCCGTTGATGCTTTAAATGTTTTATCTTTGTCTTTACTTTTCGTCAGTTTGAACACTATGTGTCTCAGTGTGTTCCTCTTTTTGTTTATCCTGTCTAAGATTCTCTGCTCTTCATGGACTTGGTTGACTATCGCCCTTCCCATATTAAGGACATTTTCAGCTAGTATTTCTTCAAATATTTTCTCAGGTCCTCTCTCTCTCTTCTCCTTCCAGGACCCTGGTAATGGAAATGTTGGTGCATTTAATGTTGTCCCAGAGGTCTCTTAGGCTGTCTTCAATTATTATCCTTTTCATTCTTTTTTCTGTATTCTGTTTTGCAGCACTGATTTCCACCATCCTGTTTTCCAGGTCACTTATTCATTATTCTGCCTCAGTTATTCTGCTATTGATGCCTTCCAGTGTATTGTTCATCTCTGTTTGTTTGTTTTATAGTTAGAGGATGAAACTAAACTAATTTAGAGGGTGAAAATTACAAAACATTGCTGAAAATTACAAAATACTGTTGAAAGTATTCAGTTCAGTTCATTTCAGTCACTCAGTCATGTCTGACTCTTTGCGACCCCACGGACCACAGCATGCCAGGCCTCCCTGTCCATCACCAACTCCTGAAGCTAGCTCAAATTCATGTCCATCGAGTCAGTGATGCCACCCAACCATCTCATCCTCTGTCATCCCCTTCTCCTCCTGCCAAGTATTAGGTTGGTGCAAAAATAATTGTGATTTTACATTGTTGAACACTGACATTTTGCATTGGAATACATTCTTAAATAGGTGTAGTTATGTTACACATCATTTCAATGTGCATTTCTCACTTTATGTTTCTTGCAAATGACATTACTTGCTGTTTATTGTTGTTGTTCAGTCACACAGTTGTGTCTGACTCTTTGCAACCCCATGGACTGCAGCACACCAGGCTTCCCTCTCCTTCACTATCCCCCAGTTATTTTATATTTATTTTAGACTATAGAAATGATGGTAGACAAAAAGCAAATTCAAGAAACTTTCTTATTCAAGTTCAAAATAGGTTGTAAAGCAACATCCAACATCAACAATGCATTTGATCCAGAAACTGCTAATGGATGTACAGTGCAGCGGTTATTCAAAAAGTTTTGCAAAGGAGGAGAGCCTTGAAAATGAGGATAGTAGTGGCTGTCTTTGGAAGTTGACAATGACCAATTGAGAGCAATTATCAAAGCCAATCCTATTACAACTACACAAGAAGTTGCCAAAGAACTCAATGTCAACCAATCTATAGTCATTCGATATTTGAAGCAAATTGGATAGGTGAAAAGGCTTGAAAAGTGGGTGCCTTGTGAGCTGACCGAAAATAAAAAACATCATCATTTTGAAATGTCATCTTCTCTTATTCTAGGCAGCAACAAAGAACCATTTCTTGATTGGATTGTGATGTGCAACAAAAAGTGGATATTACACGACAACTGGCAACAACTAGCTCAGTAGCTGGACTGAGAAGAAACTCCAAATCACTTCCCAAAGCCAAAATTGCACTAAAAAAAGGTCATGGGCACTGTTTGGTGGTCTACTGCCTGTCTGATCCACTACAGCT